GGGGGGGGAGGGGAAGGGAGCGGGGAGGGAGGCAGGCAGGCAGGTATTGGTATCCCTAAACACAGCATACATCTTGTAAATAACCCAGTACAATTAGAATGACTATTCCTTGAATTTTTTAGCTATGTATAATAATTTCTTCACTTATCTGTTATTACTATAGTTACGCCTTCTGAATAACACTTTATCAAAAAGTAGACTGTTAACCAAGTATAATGAAACAAGAAAACCGTAAGAACATGGCAATAAAAACCGCAACTTTTCCCATACAGAATGTAGATTTAAGAAAAAAAACAGTTTTCTGAAAACTGCTGTCCCCACCACCACCACCCCAAAATAAAGTGAAGATTTTATAATAAAAATTACTTGCCCACCTGTTCTACAGTAATCAACCCATCCGAAGGTTCACATGTAGCCTGTGAAGGCAAAAGTTTACACAGTGTCCCTAAGAGCAGAGATACTTCCTTCATGCTTCTCCAGCAACATACAAGAACCATCTGAGCTGTGACATCACATGTTTGCTTTTCTTTACCTTAAAAATAAAAATCAACAAACGTAATAGTGTAACTCAAGGTTCTCAGATGTAGAATTGTAATTTAAACTTCATTTAGCCTGATATTCTTACAAAACACAATTAACTCCGAAAAAAGTGTCTAAACTTGCTAACCCAAAAGACAATTCAGTTTTGCTGACCCTAATTGCTTCCACTCCTGAACACTCACTGTACTTTATTCCACTTGGAAAATGCAGCAGTATACCATTTTACCAGGAAACTGCTATTTTAAAGAGTAGAGGTCTTTTGGTCACAATTGGTATTCACCTGCACACTGAAGTATACAAATACCTACAACTTTGGAGCCAGGCTCCAACAAACTCCACGTCAATCATCAATCCATCACTCACTGTATGTTACTTGATTTTTAACGCAGGTGCCCCCATAGGAAGAGGCCTGGCAAGGGCAACACGTTTCTAATGCAACATCCCCATCTGGTGGCCACTGTGCCACTTCAACATATTTATAGACTTCTTTTCATGAAAGAAAACATATGGCCTAACCAAAACTATTTTAAACATAGGAAAAAACATGTGAGGAAAGAAAGTTCAAATATTTAAGATTTAAAAAGCTTGCATAAACTATTAAATTTAGAAATGTACAGATATTCTATAAATTTATTCTGGCACACACTAAATACGCCGAAGTTTACAATTTCTTTATCACTGTAAGGCTCAATTTCATAGCAGCTATTCATTAAAGCAGACAAATACCATCTAACATTTTACCATCTTTCAAACAGAAGCTTCTACTTATGTAATTTCATGGAACAAGTTTTATTGCATGAACATATTCCCCACTAGTCTTGTGTGCACTGGAGAGGGAAATCACACTTAACACCTTTCAACAAGAAACGCATTAAAAGCGTTGCTTGACAGAAAAAGTGTTAAAGGTTATCTGGCCAGTGCAGTTAAGGCAACAGAGTCTAGGCCAATATCAAAACAACTCATTTTCACTTGTGCTCTAAGAGAGAATAACCACAATCTTCCAGAAACACAGTGAAAACCATGCTGATGAATAACTAGCTTCTGACAGATTTATTGAAGAACTGAAACATTATACGGAGCAAGTAACTTCCAATTTTGATCACCCACATAAAATGCCTGCTCTATAAAGAATATCTTGATTTAATTACTAATACAGCATTGGATTTACCTCTCATTTCTGTGCAAATATTTTCCATTGGCCTGTGGTCAGCCAGCTTTTCAGACTCTACTTTGCAGTGTTCTTTCAAAATCTTTGCTTGCATAAAATAATCATTCGTGTCCTGTGGTTGTATCTCATGCAGAATCATCTGCAGACGACCTGCACTTTCTACAAATTAAACAAGAGGAATATTTAAGATAGTTTTGGTTTTTACTTCCAGTTCTTTATACAAATGTAATTCATTTTGGATACATAAGTACAAAAGAAAGCTATTGGCACTAAAAAACAAATATAAAACCATGGTGATTACGAGGATTAAGGAAGAAATGGACTTTACAGTCATCTGTTTTGAAACAGATGCAACAACACAATCTGCAAATGTTTTTTTTTTTTAGTGCAGAAGTCAAGACAACCTCTATCAGAAGTTAAAAGAGTGGCTTAAGATCATGACATAAAATGAGAAGTTGAAAGGGAGGGGTGCTAGCTCTAGTTCTGAATCGCTGCAAGACAAACAGAACTTCAGGAGCTTCAGATTTTAACAGAATTCTTTTGAGGTTTTGTTTGTTTGTCTGTTTACCTGAATCACTATCCATTGGAATAAGACCCTCTGGTGATGAGCTCTGCACTACTGGTGATACTACAGCAGAGAGTTGGTATGACATCAGAATGAGCCTGGCCACCATTTCCTTCCATTCAGCTACCAATGTCAAGTTACTTTAAAAAAAACCAAAATCACAAACAAAAACCAACACAACATAGATTAAAAATAATTTAATATTTAAAAGAAAGAACTGAAATTACAAACACTTCCACAACAGTATTTATGAAAACTATAAATAGCGTAGAGTCTGAAAAGTCCTAAGACTGAGTTTAACACATACAAAGGAAGTATCCAACAGCTAGCTAAACAGTGCAGCAGCCAGTAAGAGTTCTAAAAGCCACAGGTACTGGATTTCATTACAAATAACACTGTATGCTTTTATGTTCTCCTGAGCAGCTCTTCCACTGTGCTTAAATATGGAGTTACAACTTACTATTTAGCAGTATGTTTTACTTACTTAAAAGGTAATTGCTTCAAAGCCCCAGTTATACAATGCACTCTTCCATACATTGGGAATGATGCTGCTGCTTGAAGCAGAGACTTCTTAGCTTGAAATATTTCTTCTTCAACATTCACCAACAAAAGCTTGATAACTAGAATTTTAAAAAGTACAGATTCGCATTATACATACATACTGTATTTTCTAAGAAAGAAACCTGCTTTAAAGAAATAGGAATAAAGCCTGTTTACACAACAGTTCAATGGAAAATGCACAGCAATTTCCTGGTTTACACTTTTCATTCTTTTGTCATTTAAATAAAAGTTATTGCTGATTTTCAGTTACCTAAACTCCAGCAATATTTGTTACAGTCAATTTAGCCTGTCTATCCAAATCAAACAGCAGCTGTGACAAGCACAGCCCAGATCCTATACTCGGGGACAATCCCACAGCTCATGATGAAGTCAAAAAAAGCGACCTACCACATACTGAGTCAGACTTCACCCTTAGAGCCAGGTTAATACAACAAACAGTTCAGCAGAAAATTAAAAGATCGGAAGTTTACCGTTAAGTATTTGAATCTTACATTAGCCACTATAGAACCTGCCCAATTTTCAAGGATACATGTGCCTATTTTATTCATATTTATACCGTGAGGCATCTCAGTGTCAGAATCAGAATGAATTACAACAGACCCAAATAACAAACTACGGATAACTAACAACAGAAGATCTCTGTAACAAAGAGACATGAGGTCACCCATGCATTTGCTTCATTTATGGCAACCACAACCATGTCTCAAAATCATGATTTCACTGCATATGAAGAAAGTATTAGTATGTCTCTGTAAAGAAGCCAATAATGGCACCAAAAAGGTATACAATAGTGAGTTTACTACAAATTACATCCAATGCTTTATTACAAATAATTAATTTAAGGATTTTAGTTTTATTGCAAATTACAAAAGGTGGAGGAAGTCTGTTTAACGAATTTGTCAAATCTGCCAGATCTAGAGCCTCTCAGCTTTCTTCCAGAAGCACTAAACCAAAGAAAAATATCCCACATGTGAACAAAGCGTAACTACTGCAGAAATGTATGTGCAGGACTGCAAACCACTCAGAAAAATGGTTCCAAAAGAACAGAGCTCCAAGGGGAGCTGCAAATATCAAGTACTGGAAACATAACACAGACAAACAACGGCTGCCTCCACTCTGGGTGAGCAAGCTCTTAGAGAAAGCAGAGGTTCCTTTCCTACACTTTATGTGCACAGCTTCATCAGGCTAGCTACCAGGGCCTCAATGTCACTTTCCCTCTGATCAAAGTAATAACGAAAGCCATCTTCTAAGAACATTCGATAGCCTCAACATGAACAGGACTAGATTAAGATCTCACTGAGGCACCCGGCTTCTTAACAGCAAAACAAAATATACTTAAAATCCTACTGGAAATAAGTATCTCTTACTCATTATGCCTCCTACCAAAAGCCTTAAGGAAAAGCAGTAAGGTTTCAAATAAATATAAAAAACATGGGGGTTCATTTCCCCAAAAGCATACCTGCTAAAGTGTTCTTCTCCACTGTACTTTCTGATGTGTTTTCATCCATTTGGGGGTTATGCTCAATCCATTTTCCTAAACAAATATGCTGTAGTCCTTTATGATGTACTAAAAAGTTGAACAAATATGAAGCAGTGACACAATCGTATGGCTTGGTACTTGTGCTAAGATCCATTGCTGCTTGGAATAGGAGATCCAGATTTTCAGAATCCTGGAAAAAACCCAATATTGCTCATTTTTTTGAGTTGCCATATTGATTTCATTAAGCTACTTAGCACCGTGGAATCTAAGAACCTGCTTTTCAATATGTTTGCTCGTACATATTTCTAAGAAACACTTGTTTTGTACACTCATCACCTTACACTCAAAACATGCATGTGCATGTATTTAGCGAAGATACAATTACACACACACTGAGGGTGGGGACAGTCATTTATAAAGCAGTTTTCAAACATGCTGCACTTCACAGGAAGATTCTTTTTGGTTTGGTTTGGTTTTTTCAAAATACCATGTTTTATCTGCTAACGGATATCACAGAGAGGCATAGTTTATCAGGAAGCAGTATTTGTTCACCAGTACTTACAAATTTAAAAGTAACTTTTTATGAAGTAATAAACAGAAGAATCAGTATCAAGTCAAAGGGCAACATTTGGGAGAAATCAAAAAAGACAATCCAGTAATGAAACCTGAGACCAATCAGAAAGGAAAAGAAACACAGAGCTCAATTTCTTAAAATATAAGAGTAACCAAGTCAAAACACTTCAATCATTTACAAGGGAAGTCACAGCTAAGCAAGGAGCTTGCATTAACTATTTCTCTGATGGGTCTTAGTCATACCCAATGAACTTCCCAAATTCCTTCATCCATTAGTGAAACAAGCCTCCTTAAGTAAGGGCAGAAGTTGTGTAAAAACATAGAGAAGATGCTAGTGATGAACACTACTGCAGGCAACTTGGACCAACTTCTGATTTTCAGGAATTATGCTTTGTACCTAATCCAAGTACCTGGTATCATATAGAACATTCATCTTTCATGAAATTACTCCCTTTAAACTATTTTTAATTACATACCTGTAAATTAAATGCAACATCACGTAGTTTCATCAAAAGCCCAAATGCCAGAACTTTTACTTCCTCAAAAGTACTGGCAAAACACTGGATCAAAGTTTGGACACGAGTAGAATCTATCTCCTGATCCAACTGAAAAACTTGTGCCTGGCCTGTTCAAAGAAATCAATGCCTTACATAGTTTTGCTGTAATTCTTTCCAGAATAAGCACTGTATTCACATTTTACTTGGCTATACTTAAAGAAGCATTAAAATAAAATTTTAGCTGAAGCATTAGTTTAATATTACTTCTGTTAATAGGTCTTAAAATGCCATGTTTACTGTTGGGAAAAAAGGTTACCATATCAAAAAAAGGACCCTCAGTAATACAGAAAGTAACTTATTGCCAAAACCGGAATCCCATTTATTCACATTAAATTCAGCATTGAAAATAACCTTTATTTTAGCTTTGCTTAAAAATTCTTTTCCTGGAAGTATGTAATATTAGAAAATAATTTCTCTCAAAAAGGTGTAAAACTTCAGTGTGTTTTGGGATTTAGTTTTTGAGGTCCTTTTTGTCATAGGAATAACCCCCTAAAATGGAAGCCATTACAATTTTTTGCTTTTTAGATTTAAAGAAGTCATGACTTCTGGCAACTGACCTAATGCTGTAAAGAAGCCAGAGATTTTAAGATACAAAGAAGTGCACGACATGCCACCACAGAACACAACAGCAGCTAAATCTCCTTTATAGAAGTAATGTCAGGCTTCCGAAATCCTAAAGTTGCTCTTATAAACAACTCTCAATACAACTTCCTATTAAAAAAAAAAAAGCAGCAACAACATACCACAAACTCATAATAATAAAATTAACGTGTTCATGATTTATCAGGGGTTTTGAGAAAAGATCTACCAAAAAAGCATTTTTTCTTCCCTCTCAAAATCAACTTTTATCTTACATGTCTCATTTTGTTAAAAAAAAGGAAAAAAAAAGATACAATTTATGACTGAAAACATACTTTTATGTTGGCCATATGACCCAGAGACAAGATTTAGCAAGAGCATCAATACTCCAAGGCTCTAATTAATACTACTTGAATTGGGGTTGTCATAACATTGTGAAGAAAATTTAAAATAACAGCAGCACAACATCATAAACTGTCCAATTAAATTGTTCCTTATTTAGTATAATAGTACCACGAGGATATGCAAGCCTTTTCAATCAAGAGTTTTTATAGTCTCAACGTTTTAAATTACATATTATCAAGATGTTAGAACAAGAGAAGAGGGTAAAGTTATCAAGTCTATTAAATCTTGTCCAAAAGTTTTCTTCATAATAACAAAAATTCATTGAAAAACCTTGCTAAAAAACAGCCTATGCAGGCTTCCCAATTTATGGAAGATATTCAACAGGCCACAAGTATTTGCATTTACTTCAATATTCCACTTCCAATAAAACTTACTATCCTTCCTTCAGATAAAATGAAAGCAACACAGGAAATGCCACAGAAATTGAGGACTAAGAATACCATTTTACTTTGACAGAAATTGACCAGCTGGCATAAAAGAATCTTCTTCAATACCTCCCATTCCTACAGCCTATAAATTAGGCTTCTCACCTTTTGGAACAGAAAATATTTCTGCTACTGATCCTAAAATCGTTAGTGCAGAAAATCTGGTTGGGTGTGATGAACCAGGAAACAGTACCTCAAAAAGTCTGTCACATACAGATGACATGAAATCCTGAAAATCACAGGAAAAATTTTAAGACAGTTTATTTGCTGCCCTACAAAAAAAGTCTAAGTAACTGAATTCAGGACATTCTGCTTTACATGTTACCCAAAAAATTATGACCTTACAGTTAATTTTGGAAGAATGGGAGGCCTACCTTCATAGTACTGACAAATTTCTTGTTTCCTAGAGTACAGTGAAGGCTGGAAAATCTTTTTTTTTTTTAAAAAAAAAACCAGTTTCCTTTCCCCACTCCCATAAAAAGGTGGCCATGGTATTAAAACCTTGAAAATTAGTTAACAAGAAGAGCAGAACTTAAGACAAGAAACAGTTTAACACAAAGAAACTGATTATATGAGCCTTCAAATAGGAAAAAAGGACAAATACAAAAGAAGTCTTTGGAAGTCTTCATGCTGAAGCTCTGTCATTCATTCTCTCACTGATCATTCTAGAGAGCTAGAAAAAGGCTGAAGTTCAACAGATCTCTCTTTCAAGCCCAAGTAACACACATCATTTAAAACTTGCTACTAAACTGCCAGCAGCTGACAGCACATTTACCTGAAAATTTTAGTTTGGATTGGGGGTGCAGCTCCAGTCATTCCCCACTTACTGCTGTTTCAGTTCACATCATGGAGCAATCCCTCAGAAAATAACCTTTATTGCTTTTGGACAAAATTAACCTTAAAGATACGCTCCAAATACTAATTGGCATTCAGTTCATGAAACAACAGTACATTTAGTCAAAATTAACTTGCATAAGTGCATACAGAGTGGACAAGGTCCTCAGTACTGTTTTTACTTTACAGGTTTCTTCCTCCTGCACTGCACTGTTTCCTAACACAGACACAGCCTAACTTACTCAGAGGTGTTCTCAAGAACAATGAGCTATCTTTCAGAAATGCTATCCCTCCTCTTGTATCTGTATCTCTAGCAGTCTAACTTACTTTATATTGCTGCAAGATCCCCAAAGGATGCCTTTTAGTTGAGTTTTCAAGTAACTCTTGCTTGGTTTTATTTTGCTCCAATTTATAAAGCACCTGGGAACTTTCTTGTATCCTACAAAATAACTTTTAAAACAAAAGCAAAACATAGGTAAGGCAAGAATCATTGACAGTTAAATAAGGGAAAGGGGGATTTTCAGCTTATTTTCCAGATCATATTGCTTGTAATTTTTAAAAAGTTTGCGTACCGTATAACACAGAACAGATCCTTCTCTCTCCACTCCAAAACCAAGTTTTTTGTTCCCCATCTCTCTTGTGACCAACCTTTTTCCCCTCCCTCTGCACCTCCAGCACCTTCTTCCATCTTCCCTCTTAAATTCATGCCTAGTCTTCTCCTCCACCTCCCCATTCTTTGTGGAACATATGTTCCTCTATAAAAAAAGCTCAATTAATGCACGTAATTTTCATAGCTTCAGTGTCTCTTACGCTGTTTGAGTTTGACTCACCTCAGGAATGGTTCCCCCAGTTCTTTTATTACCCACTATAATTACGTCCTTTATTACATTCCCTCTAACACCATTTTTCCATCCCATATTCCTCAGTCTGCACCAAGCGAGAATGGAAAGAGATGGACTTCTCTTTTGTTTCCGCCAAACCTATTCCCTCATCTTTCCCCCGCCTCAAATTAATTATTTTCTCCTTCCACACTGCTTTCTTTTGCCATTAACATCTTCCAAATACATAGTTTCCTCATTTCATCCATATCCTTCTACCATCATCTACATGTGACTTTGGAACTTCCACAATGTTGACACACTCAATCCCTGCAGACTATAACAGCACAGCCACATGTAACGCTGTTCCCTTAATATTCTTCTACCTTGTCTTCCAAGTCAGGTTGCTGAGGCTGATCAAGTGACTCTGAATTTGCCTGACATCTGGTAAGTCTACGTAAGCACACTCTTAGTCCGTAACAAAGGCAACACAAGGTTCATTGCTTACCAATAGCAAAGCAATGTGCTGTAAAATATGCATACGCTGACAGGTTAAGTAACACTCACTACCATTCACGATCAAGTTACTGTGCCTATCAATTTTTTGTTTAAGCCATCCTTGCCTGTGATGACTTATCACCATTCAGTTGGGTAATACATACAACACAGTCCTGGTCTTAAAGCTTCTACTCTTTCAGATGAGCAACTTCATAACATACTCAGAATTTTTTTTTAAATGCTATATAACTAACATAATAGGCACATTAGACATTATTTATAGTTTGAAATTACCTTTCTCAGTAAAGAACCTATCTGTTGCCTTACTGAAGGAGACTGGCTGTTCAAGTTGTACATCATAAAAAATTGAATTAGTTGCATTTCTTCCATAGACACAATTTCCGTGCTACGATGGGTTTCACAAAGTAAACCTAAAGCATCAATGCAAACCTGAAAGATATTTAGATGTTAACCACAAAAGAGTTACAGGCACTTATGACGATACCTTTATTTTAAAACAATGCTGACACAGTATTTAGGATCGAAGCAATTCTTCTAATTTAAAGACACAAAAAAACCATCCCTTTACCTGATTGTGCTGATGAACTAGACCCAGTTTTATACATTCAGTGGATACAAGACCATTGTTCATGATATTTGAAAGTTCCAGGTGTCCGTGAGCCCTGGCTGTTCTTAGGCATGCCATTAATGCTCCAAGAGCTCCTCTAGTACTGCTAGAGCCTAAAGAAAATGAAAAACAGTAATAATTCTAGTTTGATTAGCACAAACAATGTACTAATTGCAATGCTTGTCAGAAACTCCCGATACTTCCACAACATGACCCTTACTCCCTTTTATTTTTTACCCCATAAACCCTGAAAGACAGTGTCTGTCAGATTAAACTAGTTCTAAATCACCTCGTTCCCAAAATGCTTCATCTTGAACATGTCATATGAAAAAAGGACCTTGTGAGGTCTCACAAGCCCTTATTTTAGAATCACACTAAATTATGTCCAAAACTACAAGAGAATCATAAATCTCATATCCACATATTTGCAACAAAAAACAATCTGTAAAGCCCTGTTACTGGACACACCTGTTCAAGAAATAACAGTAGAACAGAAAAATAGTAGAAAAAATACTGCTACGTAACAAAGCTTGGCATGTAAAGAAAACAGTAAGGCACTCGCAGTTAGAATACTAATTATTTTGCTCATGGCATGACGACACACTTATGATTATTATGAATTCCACCTTGAAATACTAACAGCAATAATAACCATCTGGAGTTTTTCTCCCAAATTAATTCTAATAATAATAATAGATCAGAAATCATATTTCTGAGGTTTTTTTTTTTTGAAAGAACAATCATAATTACAAATACGATACTTATTTTCTTACCTAGATTAGCATCTGCAGAAGCCTGAAGAATTCTAATCATGTAGCTCAGACTGTCAGGGCTACATTTAAGCAATTTTGGTAAATAGTAATCTATTATATAAGTAGTTTGGTCGTGGTTCCCTTCACACAGTATTACTAGAAGAGGAGAAACCCAGATGTCATGCCACTGGTCAATCCAGGTGCTTTCTTGAAAACTCAAAGCAAAATGGGCTTTATGATTTGTAAACATGGTTTCCAAAAGATCACTAGCATAGGGTGCAAGAGACTGATCATACATCACGTCCAAGATTTGTACTGGAATTGTTCTGTCCAACTGTAGAATATTTTCAGTGCCCACACACTCCACAAGACAGCCAAGAGAAGTGTATTTCCCTTTTACATGCCATTCCAAGCTTAGTAAACGCTTTATCAGCCTTGCAAAGAATGGGTCTGATTTTTCATTGGATCCAGTAATGGTAGTTCGGTGTATCTGAAGAAGATTCTTGAATATCAATTTGGTTTGGTGTCTAACAGCATCCAGAGGGTGTTCCCAGTGTGTATAAACGTATTCCAGCAGCTTCCCAATTAAGTCCGAGTTCCCATTAAGTTTGATTTTTAGATTTGGGGAGCTTGAAACAAGGGCAGCCAGTGCTGAATTAGTCCAAATGGCAAGGATTCTAGACAAAGACGTTGCCATACTGGATTCTTTTAACCTTTTAAAAAGAACCAACAAAAAAGTTAATTATTTGCATTTGTCAATTTTTTCAAAAATTATTTTTTTATTTCAAAATAATTATTCATCACAGTAGTTTACCTCACACTAAAACAGGTAAGGAGACACTAATCATTCACTGAAGAAAAGGAACTAACGCAAAAAGGAGATAATGAATTGGATGTTGCAAAGTGTATGCTTAGTTACCTGACATACTGTTAACTCGTCACAGCTAAAACCCCTAAATATGGGGAAAAGAAACCTGACAAGCCACTACACTTGCTATTTTAAAAACAAAAATAAAAATTAATATCCACATGCTAATGCAGCATTATGTTATTGCATGCTTCTTGAAAATATAAGGAAAACTTTTCATTGCCATATAAAACCACAAAAGCTGAGTACCGTATGTGCAAAAACAAAATCACAAAATTGACCTCCAAGGCAGGAACAAAGGTTGAACTGAATACACGTTTTAATTTCCTATCCAATAGTGCTGGTAGTCCATTAGATGCAAGCAGTCAATGCTTGCAACCAGAAAAAAAAAAATTAAAACTCATCTTACTTCAAGTATTCCACTCACTGGCACATTTTATTTTCTTCTGTACTTTTAAAAGCATAGGAGGTGATGTCCAGAAACTAACAACTGATTCTGCCACACCTTACCATCAGGTAGTTGGTAAACTAATCCCACTTATATTGGAAAAACAAAATTTCATTATAGCATGCAAGAAAAAATTGTAACTTAGAACTATCTATGCAGTATATTTTTCAAACTTTCAGAGTTATTCTGAATATACTAAAAAGATGACATGATCTGCAGCACAAACTAACATCATTACACTGAAACCATCAAAGAGAGATTCCACCAGGACCATCTGAGCCGTGCAAAAATACAAGTAAAAAGATCAACCCCCTCCTCCCAAACATGAAACAATACAAATCAAAATAGAGGCTTACTCTGAACTCAAAGACAACAAGACTGATGCGATATCTAGTAATAGTTTCTCTCCATTTTCACCCATGCTGCCATTCTTCCATTCCAGCATAGCCAGTGCTCCATGGCAAAGAAAGAGAAGGACCGAGTCAGGGAGTTCTTCTGTACACAGAGTCCCACAGTTACTCACAAACCACGCTGGCACGCCTGTGTGTTTCATTGACCCAAGAAGCAAGTCGCTGACCTGTAATAGCAAAATAACACCTATTACAGGATCTCAGCACAGGAGAAAAGCTATTTCGTGCATAACTGAGAATCTTAGAAGATCTGAAGAGATTTCCTGTACGTTGTTTTTCTCAAATTCAAAACCCTAGTCTTATTATTTCATATGGCAAGGAGAGAATAAAGGATTTACACTCCAACAGAAGACCGATACAGAGGTTGGCAAGTCTTGCTATCCATATCAGCAGTCTCTGAACAACACTGGTGGTAGTACTGATTAACACCACTATGACACTTCACAGTCTTTTGCAAAGAAATACACTTACCAAGGAAGGTAATTCTTCAACTGGCTCGTACATAGCTTTAGTAAACAGAATAACAGCCAGTCCTGAAGTAGTCTGAACAGTTTGCAGGAGAGTTGCTACATGGCAGAGAAAGATATTTTACATTAGAGTGCAGCAAACATCGTGCACTAGAACTATGTATCAAAATTATAAAGATAGTATTGAATTTTCCTAGAGTACCTGTAATTGTATAATCACAAATCTGTAGTGTCCGCCTGGATAGCAAGTATTAGTGAATTTATACTCTAGTGTAATAGGAAACTATTAACAGCTTTTAATAGATAGAAAATATAGAACTGCCCAGTAAGACAAGGACGACTGTGGCAGAGCCTATTGTCATTTATATTAAATTCTACTATACAAAAATACCTGTATAAGAAGCAAACACAATTAGTTATAGTGCACCAATAAATAGTTCTGACAGCATAATTCATACAGATACATAAATTTTTCGTAGGCAAGACATTCCGTGAGTCTCAATAATATTTCTGCTAGTTTCTAAATTATTATTAATAGCATTTACCTTTGGTTTTTGTAGCAGGACAAGTTAAACTGTACACTCCAAAATTACGATCTACAACTCATAGCTTGCTGAAAGACCTACAACTGCTCCCTCTCCCATTAATCCCTGCAGTTCAATTTCCATTCAAGGTAAAGTAAGTTTTTATACATACACGATGTGTTTACTACAAAGACAACAAGACTGACTTAATAAAAATATTTGGGTTTGAATGTTATTAAACTTACCATCCATTAGGAAGTTTGTGGAGCTTTTCAGTAAACTGCACATACTTTGCCAAATAAAAGAATCATGGTGTTTCCAAAGACTTCCCTGGGTATATTCTTGTAGTTTCTGTACAAGCATCATTGAAACTTTAATGGCTATCAGTAAATCATGCATCAACTGAGTCTGAACAATACGATTTCCATGATTCTTTCTGTGGAAAAAATAGACAAACATGCACAAAAAAAGGAAATGAAAACCATTCTTTGCCATCCCCATAAAACTACATTCTGCCAACTTCAGATAGAATTAATGGTAAAAACTAATTTATTGTTTGAGTTGACCAGATACGTAACTATAGGAAAATAAGCAGCAGACTCAAGGGCAGCATTTTAAAATGAAGTTAACAAACATAATGACAAATTGTACTACAGTTTCTGCAGGTTCCTGTGACAAACTTTCACTCATTGGATTCTGCCTGTGGAGAGCTGAACTTTTTCAGAAACTTTCCAAAAAGACCAACAGAACACAGCTCCATTCTCATTTTTCAAGCAGTTCCTCCCTGCACAAAGCATATTTCTACAATTCAACTTTCTTCTAACATGAAGACAACCTGTAAACTTTTTCTGTACAAAACACTCCATTAAGCACGCTTCTCCTCTAGGTACGTGATGAGAGACCACAGTGAAGAGGCTTCACTTTATGCAATGCTGGAAAATGTCAAGATATTAAATGATATCTGCTGTTACAGATTAAACAGAGTATCAATACTGAATTAAACACTCAGGGTAAGTGGAAGAGTATTACTCTACCTGAATTTTAATAAGTGTATCTATTAATTACAGTGTTCAGTCACAATTCAGATAGCAAAACCACAACTCAAAGGCCTCCCTTAAAAGCAGTAGCTCTAACAGTATCAGTGCCTTAAATATTACCGCCTTTAATTTTCTTCCTTTCCTCTCTTATTTTTTATCATCATATCGCCACAAAAGAAAAGAAAATCAGCAATTTTTATTTAAAATATGTACCATTGTAAAAAGACATTCCCATCTTTCATCAATGTATGGCTATCAAAGCGATATTCCAAACCATACCAGATTACCTTGCAAGAGTGAAATAAAAACAGATAAAATACAGCTTATATTGAATTCACTTGCCTGTTTTCTTCCTGTATGTCAGGTAGTGACTTCTGCAGAAACTGAAGAACTAGTGAAAATAATTATGGTATAAATTTAGTTAAAAGAGAAATAGAACAGAAAAATTCCAGCAAAGCAATCACACATACACATCATATCCAGACACAATGAACAGTTATCCATATAGTGGTGTTTCTTCCACTCCGTAAACAAATTAAACTGAAATTACAGTGCAGATCCAAAGATGCGATGCTAAAGCAAAATCTCAAGCTGGTTTGCGACAACCTGGTACAAAACGGGAGTTTCCAACTCACTTGGCCTAATCCTGTGAGGTATTGAGAGTTCTGGTTTCTCAGTGAAAAGCTGGAATGACCAAGAGCTAAAGACAGGGCAGCAATAAAAGGCCCACAGGAAACTGAACATTACCTGCATGCTAAGGGCAAAACATGCCAAGTTATCCCATACTACCAGCTGACCAGACTTCTGCCAAATTATTGCCAAACAAAACTCTTGCCACAGCAGGCCTGGGCTTGCTATAGTCAAGACTGGCTGTTAACAGCACAGTGTTACCACATCCAACTTCATCAGCAGGCTAAGGACAGAGAATACTTCACGTAAAGTAGCATCAACTCTCCCAGCCCTTTAAGAACCACTCACTGGTACCTTTTCAGATTTATATCTAGGGCTGCTCAACAAAGCAAGGTTGACCCCTGGAAATTAAATATACAAAGCAAGGGTAAGTCTTTGAGAAAAAAGTACCATGTGAGGGTACTAGCTACTAAAAATTAACCAGGAGGAAATCAGATCTGATAGATCTTTATGCCTACCTCATGTTACTTCTGCACACGCAACCCTCCACCCAGTAATCTACAGTGAAACTTATTTTACTGTAAATATAACTTTACCTTCTTCAAACAGGTTCTTAATACTTGCTCTACCTAGAGGAAAGAAAATACATTTTAACTAGTGAGTACTAGCCAATAGTATCTATTTTACATAGATAAAGATGTAAACATTACTTGATACATGCCACACCAAGACGCAAACCAAGGTTGAGCAAGTTAAAACAGAAGACGGTATATTCAATGTCATCGTACCTAAGCTGAAGTCCTCCATACAGGAAGCAAGGTTGTCCAGTACTTTTCTGTACAAATATATGTCTGTGGTTTTCAGTTCTTCCCTAAGGCAGCATACAAAGCTTTGTACAGCTAACGTCATAAACTCTTCAGGAAGACTGTTTAGTGAACTGCAACAGTAAGAAACAGCACGATCAGTTAGCTCACACTGAAGTGTTAAATATCTGCTTGACTAAAGTCAATGTCAGGTAAAACTCTAACCATAGATAGATGTTGCTTCCTGCATGAAAACGTATTCTGTTTTAAAATAAACACGCATGTTCAAATTTTGCAGCTAGAAAACCTGTCAAAGGGGTGTAAAGCTCTCGCATGCAAACAAATACAGGATGGAAGCCGGGCTTCTCTCAGTGAAGCAACAAATGTTTCCTGACACAGAAATGAAGACAGCTAAGCATTGTATCTTAAAAATGTTAAGGCTGTAATAAATTCACTAAAGAAATACAACACAATTTTGCAACTGAAAAATTTAATTGAAATAAAAATAGGCACAAGAAACCACAGTTTAGTTATGATTTCTTTGAACAGCCTTCTCTTCACAGTCGAAGTTGAGACTTTTTTTTTTTTAAAACAGAAGTATTTTAAATTTCTACTCTAATACTGGATTTTAAAATTCACAGTGCTAATTACACACTATGTTGTCTTTCCAGTAATGAAACAGATCAAAATAATACCTCACTTTGAAGTTATTTATCCAGTGATATATTGTATTATTTATAATTAAGATTTTTAACTAAGCAAGAAAGAAAACCAGTACATATTCACATATTAGTATCACAAATTTTCAATAATTAAACTACAGCAATTTGTAGTGCATGACAAGTTACTGACTTCCGGTAAGGAGAGCATTTAAAAAAAAAAAAAAAAAAAAAAAGGATTACTATTCAATTTTTTACCTTGCTAATACTTTTTTCAAGGGATTCTTCGCACCCAGTGAAAAATATGTCTCTCCCAAAACATCCAAACAAGCTTTAACCATGGGATCACATGCAGAGTTTTGATCCATCTTCTTTACCAATGGCATAATCTATAATCAACAGAACACATGATCAACAAAAACTCTGGATATACCCTCATCATTAACAGAGGCAGAATTCCCTCTCATCCAAGCACATGGTGCAAAACCGTCCTGTTTTTACCATATCCTGTTGAGTTTCAGGTGTTGAATAACATTCCAAGAAGACCTCTGATACTAAAAATACATACATAGAAAATAGGAAACTTGGTATCACTTGCCTTCCACCATTGTCAGTAACTGTAGCCCTTGCTAATTTAAGTACTAGAACTACATTTCTACCTAATGCATGTGCAGCAGTAACAACTGCTTTTTACCTGTTTCCAGGAATGTTTAAAACACTATAGAGTTTATTTTAGAACTGCATTTCCCATTAACGGTGCATATGACACACTGTCAGTTACCAAAAACCACACTAACAACAGTGAAGTCTTACTTGTTTAATACACTGGATCTGCTGGATGCCATTGCTCAGCTGTGCGCAGTGCAGAAGCAGAGATGCCAGGTTTTGCTCTTCAGCCTTTGAAAACCCTACATTTGGAAGAAGAGTCTCTTTTTAGAAAGGAATTACAATAAGCAGTATAAACAACACATAATTCATAACAAGAAGTCACTGCTTAATTCTTAGTTTTTTTCCTGTTCCAGTAAACCTACTGGTGCCACAATCCCGTAAGTCACCTTACAATACCTTAACACCAATTTTTTTTTCTAACAAATGAAAAAAAATACAAGTTTCACTGCAATGTAATAGTAGGCCTCATCCTCAGTACGAATCACAGCATGGTTGAAGTCAGAAGGGACCTCTGGAGGTCACCTGGTCCAACCCCACTGCTCAGGTAGGGTCACCTGGAGCAGGCTGCCCAGGACCATGGCCAGATGGCTTTTGAATATCTCCAAGGATGGAGACTCTCCAACTTACCTGGGAAACCTGTGCCAGTGCTCAGTCACCCCCAAGTTAAAAAAACAAAATGTTTCCTGATGTTCAGAGGGAACATCTTGTGTTTCAGTTTGTGCCCATTGCCTCCCGTCCCATTACTGTTCAACACAGAAAAAAGCCTAGCTCTGTATTCTTCATGCCCTCTTTATGCCCCCCTTTTATGTTTTTTTTTTTTGTTTTTTTTTTTTTTTTTTACACACTGGTAAGATCCCCCTGAGCCTTCTCTTCACCAAGCTGAAGAGTCCCAGGTCTCTCAGCCTTTCCTCACAGGAGAGATGCTCCAGGCCCTTCCTCATCTTAGTGGCCCTTCGCTGGACTCTCTCCAGTATGTCCATGTCTCTCTTGTACTGGGGAGCCCCGAACTGGATGCAGCACTCCAGGTGTGGCCTCACCAGTGCTGACTAGAAGGCAAGGAGCACCTCATAGAAACTTTAGTACACAATCTTGTATTACTTATTTTTGGTTTTGTTTTTTTTAAAGTAAAGATCACTGGAAGTTTATCTCATCAAACAAACCAACCAAAAAAACCCCACAAAATAAAAGAGCATTTGAACAGTATCTTTAAATCAAATTAACTACAGAAAAGACTGGGAAAATATGCTCAAGATGATCTCCAGAGATTCCTTTCAACCTCAACCACTCTGTGATTCTTTGAAATTCAGTGTTATCCCACATGTTAAGGCTAGTACTTCAGGTAGCACTGAATTACAGGCCTGCAAGTGGGATCACAGGTAGGACCTTCTACCACCTTCACACCAATGATAAAACAAAGCAAAGAGCTTTCAGACGAAAGACATGGTGCTCTAAAGGATTCTTTTAACTCTGCCAAGGTAAGAAGTCATTGTCATTACGAAGTAAAAACAAACCACAAAAGAGCAAACACACCTAAAACCCACAAAACAAAAACACCAGAAATAAAACATAACAAGGAAAAAAAAAACCAAACAGATCAATTTCAGTAGCTACTCAAATGCATTCTACTAACAGAAAAGGAAATTACACATTAGTTCAGAAAAAAAGACCCCACTTACTCTGAAGTTTTTCAAGCTGCTGATGATCAAGAAAGAATGCATCTACCTGAATTTCCTTCTTCTTCTTTAAAACCATTTTAGCTGATTAAGAGATACCTGCTCAAAAAAAAAAAAAGTCACATTGTTTAAAAGCATAATTACAAACACTTCCTATTATAAGGGTCTTTTCACTGTCCTGAAATAATGTTTATTGCATTATCGGTGCAATTTTTTTTTTCAAGACAATAGCTCTCTTCAATTTTATCACCTTCAACTATTTCAAGCATTTTGTCCAAAATTCACCCAGACTTCATGGCACAAAATGGAAGACATAGAAAACGGGATTTCAGGATTTGCTGGATGACTGACAAACCATCTCACTGGAGTTTTTACTGCACTTGTTATGTAGTCTGTGGCTAGATCAGAGTTGGAAAATATCATGCAGAAGCATGGCAATTACACCATGAAACTTTTGTTGCTCTGTTTTACAGTTCAAAACTCATTTAACTTGTATTAATATAAATTTAGAACTGTGTAGCAAAGCAGTTTTGTTTCTTTACAACACACCAACCAGTTCTGTGTTCACCATAATGGACATCACAAATAGGAAGTTATTTTTCTTCTTTCAGGTGATGGCAATATAATATGCACTACAGCTTCACTGACTTATGAGACCGTTATCACAGAACAGCTGAAACTGGAAGGGATCTCTGGAGGTCATCTGGTCCAATCCCCTGCTCAAGCAGGGCCACCTGGAACCAGTTACCCAGGACCACGTCCAGGTAGCTTTTGAATGTTTCCAAGGATGGAGACTCCACAGCCTCTCTGGTTGACCTGTGCCAGCGCTCAGGCACCCTCACACCGCATCTGGTGCTTCCCGATGTTCAAGAGGGACCTTCCTGTGTCTCAGTCTGTGCCCGCTGCCTCCCATCCTGGCACTGGGCACCACTGAGAAGAGCCTGGCTCCATCTTCTTTGCACCCTCCCTCCCCATATTTATATAGACTAAGATCCCCTGATCTGTTATCTAGTCCCAGTTGATAGTGATCACAAAGCATAACTCCTTTTATGTTCTTCTAAAAACAGGCGGCTTCACCCTTTTTCCCCAGGCAGCGGGCACCGCACGACAGCATTCACCAGCGTGCCAGTGCCCGGCTGGGCAGCGAGGCCGGCACCCAGGCGGGGCAACAAACACGACAGCCCCAACCTTCGAGCGGTCTCAGGAAGACAAGAGCCCGACCTGCAGCGCCTCAGGGGAAGATGCAGCCGGGCCCCGCTGCCGTG